CTCCTCCCGGCGCGCGGAGCGAGGCCCGAGCGCTGGCCGGCCGCGAGCCCGGCGGCCGGGGACGAGCGCCGCGGCCCATGCTGATCCGTGTCCTCCTCCTCCTCCCCCTCAGGCGGCGCTGGCGGCGGCCCCGGGACCCGCGGAAGCCGGCATGCTGGAGAAGCTGGAGTTCGAGGAGGAAGGTGAGTGCGCGCCCGCCGCGGCGCATCCTGGCCGCCGGGGACCCGCGGTCGGCGCCCTGCGTTCTGCGCCCTGCGGGCGGCGCGGACCGGGATGCACCGGGATGCAGTAGCCGGGCTTCGAGGAGGGTGCAGCGGGGCTCGAGGGGAGATGCAGCCCCAGCTGCACGGACGCAGCTCTGTTCTGGGGGCATGCAGTCCAGTTCCAGAGGACGCAGCCCATTCCTGGGGACGCATTCCCGGGTTCCTGGGAAGCAGTCCACTCAGGGGGACGCGGCCCGGTTCCGGGGTACAGAGCCCGGCCCCGGAGGACGCAGCCCCAAACCCAGCTCGCGGGAGGGGCCGCCCGCGCTCTCCGAGGGGCGGCCCTTTTGTCCTCCGCACCCAAACTCGAGCGAGCCAGGTGTCAGGAGCCCTAATTGTGCGTGTCACCGTGCTCCGTGGAAACCCCCGGAATCACACGGACAGCCCCAGCTTTCAAATAACAAACCAGTTCCCTTGTCTGGATTTATGGAAATACCTCCAGTAGGGTGTGTCTGCCTTTTTTTAAATGGGGAAAGTTAAATCTGCAAACCCGAAGTGGCAGATGGAACTGGTTTGAGTTGGGGCGACCCTCTGTCTTGTCGTTTCTGGCTCCTCTCCCCTCGCTGGGTTTTTCTTCCCGCCCTATTTCCTTCTTGTATCGCCTTACAGGTAAATAACCTGGATCTTATTTTGAGGCTGTTAACATTTAAAGACAGATGAGCTTTTTTTTTTTTCTTCTTTAAAAAAAAAAAAGAGGGGCGAGTCTGATGAGCTTGAAAACGAACTTTGTAGCAGACGCTTGGCCATTAGGAGACTGTCAAAGGCCTGATGACATCTCGTGTACTTCCATGACTTATTAAGTGACTTATCTAGAGTTCCAGGAGAATGGAAGGCCTGGAACAAAGAATGTGCCATGCGGATGCTGGCCGTTGTGCCAACTTCGTTAATACCCTCGTTCATTTATGTTCAGGGAATTACTTCAATAAGCATGCATGGCCAGCCTGGGAGTGCCACCCTGACAGCATCAGACCAGTGCCTGTTGTAGCCAGGCTGCAGCACTTAACAGTTGGCTTGAAGTCCGTGTGTCTGTAGAAACCTTAACTGTCATTAAGACTCTTCCTCCTTCAGTTATTACTGACAAATGGCACATTTCAGAATTTTCCTGGGCTTCCTTTGTACTTGACTCTTACAGAAAGATAATCCTGCGTCTTCAATTGAGTGCATCTTGGTTTTCCTTGGGGTTGGTGTATTGCTGACTACACACACAGCTGCTGCGGGCTGCAGGTTGATTCAGTGTGCCCTCTCCATTCAGATTGGGAAATGTTTATAAATATTTGGAAGTTAATGTGAGACATCCTGGGGAAGTGCCTTAATGTTTTGGAGAACCCAAACCTACATTCACCTTATGTCTCACCTCATTGCACTTAACCTAGCTGCCAGGCCCCAAGCAAGTGACTTAACTTCTCTGGTTCTTAATTTCCTCCTTTATAAAGTGGAAGTAATGTGTGGGTGCTTTGTCAATTAAATGAGACCACTTTGCATTCTGGCATTCAAGTACGGTGTGAACCCGTAGTAAGTACTTCGTGAATGTTACTTTCATTATTTAAGTGCCATTAACCTAATGTGCCAAATTCCTGGACTTTTTAAGACTTTTATTTCTGAATCTTAACACAGATTCTTCTCAGCACAGCTTTGCTGGCTTTTTCCCCCTTGAGATTTATATTATACTTCATTTCTCAACTTTCTCCCCCCTTTGGGTTGTTTCTGCCTGTGTTGTAATGTAAAGTGTTGGAGCTGAGCATATGAGAAGGAACGTCCCCTTTTCACCCATCTATTTTTAATCTGCATTGCCGTCATTTCTTTAAAGCATACTGAATCCCACAAATAACCCTGTCAAACGTTTCTAGATTTGTAAGAAGGCAGAATGTTAAACAATGACTGGGAAGCTGTTAGCCAAGCTGGAAGAGGGATGGTGTTGGCGGAATAGTCCAGAACACTGCTTTGTTCCTGTAGAACTTTACATCGCTTGTTCATCCAAAATTCAAAGGCACTGGTTATCAAGTAGAACCATGCACTTAACTTATTCGAAAGGGAGAAAAAAGTCGTTGTAGTGAGCCTTTTACACCTTTCAGTAACCCCAGAACTGATGTGTTAGCTGTCCACATAACAGGCCCCTACTGAATGTGTCCTCTATTCGTCTGTAAACTTCCTTCTTCCCTGGCTAATATCTTAGTTCATGCATTGGCTTTTGGAAACATGACTAGGCAGCGATACATTTATTAAACGTGGAAACATGTGGTAATTGATAGTCTTGTTGCCAAGTTATTTTTCTATTTCCAAATAAGTATCAACTATACTCCAGTTGTTAGAAGGCATTTCAAAGGCATCAGTGAAGTTGGGAGGGAAGAAGAGGCAGAGTGAGACCTGCGCTGCATAGTTGGGGTCAGCTTTTACCTGTGTTAGGATGCTAGCTGTTCCCGCACCACCACCATGCTGTAACCAGAAGGACCTCGCTCCTGCTCCGAACACCCTCGCTGCTGTCCTGTCTGTACACCAGGGTAAACGTGGCACTCTTGGTGCCTCTCTCTGTGGAAGAGTCTCCCAAGACCTTCTTAAAAGATCCGCCCGCCCCCCCAATCCTGTAGGTCCAGGTCAGGGCCTGCTATGTTGCCTGCTGCCCAGCCCCAGTGGGCCCCTCTCTGTTCCTTCACAGGCTTCTCTTTGAAGAGCGAGGCTCCAGGGCATGGGATGGCAATGTGGCAAAAGGCCTGGCAGTAAAGATTTGAGCCTTGTGGGCAATATGGCCTCAGCTCTATCATAACTCTTCAGTTTGCCCTCATAGCAAGAGAGAAGCCCAAGGCCAAACACAGTGGGCAGGGCTGGGTTCCAGGAACACTTTGATGTATGAAACAAGCCGGATTTGGCTCATAGACATAGCTTGGCAGTCCCGGCCCCATGTGTCCCTCACCGTGTCTGTCACCCTTTCTTCTCAACCCAGATCTCATCTCTGAGGCTGTCCCCCAGTTCACCCACAGCTTACTGCTAGGATCCCAGTGGTCACCTTAAATATTTATACTTTATGATGTTGGAAGGATTAGATAATCTAGTATGTGCCAAGCAGTGAGAACAGAGTCTCCCAGGACCATCACTTTATATGTTTGTTTTTTAAGTCACATCTTTTCTCTGTCTGTGTTTGTTCATCTTAGCTACCTTGAGCTTATTTCCAGGCCAGGATAAAGCACGTGAGCACAACCTTGACTGTTTTAAAGATCATCTCCTGGCAGTTGCAGTCCTGGTTATTTGGTGAGCTAGAACCCCTCTTTTTAGACTCTTGCGCCCACTCTCGACTTCCCTCCTGTCATCCCCGCAGTCCTGGGATGTGCAGAAGTTTGGGTCTGAGGTGACGTCTAGTCCGTCATCATCTGTACTGTGTCCTCACTGTTCACCAAGTGTTTTCCATGCACACTTGCTGTAGGACTCCTGGGCATCAGAGTCCAGAATGATCAAAAATAAGAAAGGGACTGGGGGATGGCACAGTCAGTACCGTGTTTGCTGCACAAGCGTGAGGACCTGAACTCGGTCCCCCAGCACCCACATACAAAAAAACTGAGCATGGTGGCACATACCTGTAATTCCAGCACACTGGGGAGGTGGAAATGGATTTATTCCCATAGTTTGCCAAACAGGCTAGCCAAATTGGCAAGCACCAGGTTCAATATGAGACCCTGTCTCAAAAAATAAGGTGGAGAGTAATTGAAGCAGACACCCAACATTGACCTCTGGCTTCTACGCACGCGTATATAAATATGCGCATGCACCCAGACACGTGTGAAAGCACAGATGAATACACACAGACAAACCAGAAACTACAGGGGCCACTTTGTGCAGGAGGGCAAGCATTATTTTTCAGTCAGGAATTGCAGTTGAGGCCCCGTCGGGTGAGGAAGTGACTGCATTTCCTTGGATGACTGACCCACAGAGCCTTTGTTTTATTATTGTTATCATTATGGGTTGATACTGTAAAGCAAGTGACCTCTTGCCTTCCAACTTGGAAATTGGACCCCAGAGCGTCCAGCAATCAGTGTACAAAAACAAACAACAACAACAACCCAAAAACCCAGAAAATTGTCGACCACTCACAGCCTCTTCATTCTCAACTTGGGAGGTAATGCCCTAAATTGAGCAGACATGGGCTTTTGGTAGAGACAGCACATCTTGGGCATTAACAGTGGTCTGTGGTTCGTCACAGGGGCCCCGTACACAAACAGGTACACAACTTCTCTATAGAATTAAACTTTCATGCGACAGTTGAGGAGAAAAACACTTAGGTGGCTCTGGGGACAGTGAGGAAAAGGTTGAGAACACTCGCTGCCTTGCCTCAGGGAAAGTTGCCTTTGCCAGAAGAGAGCAACCTATGAAATTCTCTCCTCTCTTGGCTTTGAGGGCTTCTCCAAAGAGACTCCGCCAAGTCAGCCTGCAGGTTTGCTGCCTGTGATGTGAGGGGTACTGACCTCTGGTGGTAGAGATATCAAAGTGCCAGGTTTGCCATCGCAGCGTGGTGGCCTGATGATCATTGCCTTGGAGCTCTAGAAGCTATGATGATGCTCCCATCCAAACTCTCTTCTTCCTAGCTGAGTTTGTACGCTCACCCTAGGCAAGGGATAGATTGATTTGTGACCAGAAGAATGATTAAAATTGTATGAAATATCTATAGCTACATCTTTCTGCCTAGCTGGCCCCATATTTAACATATTGCCATATTTCATAGATCTTTTTTTATGTGTGTATTTCCATACCTCTGAAGTCAGGGTACAACAAAATGTGATGGTACAAGCAGTTGTCTTGTGGACTATGGTTTGGATGGAGTTTGCCCCCTAATCGTTCCTGGGATGAAATTTTGGTCTCAATGTAAACAGCATGGAACAGTGGTAGATCTTTAAGAGATGAAGTGTAGTAGAAAAGTGCCTAGGCTTCTGAGG